ACGATTACGGAGACCTGATGAACTCAACGTTCGGGCTTGTGCCAGCTGGACGGGGTCCCGCCTCGTACCGACTCGGGGAAGTGATGAGCGCCGGAGCGATACCCGTATTAATTGGCCGCGACCTCGTTCCTCCGTTCCTGGAGCAAATCGACTGGTCTTCATTTTCTTTCGCGTTTACCCCGGACGAAGTGGAGTCACGCGTGATGAGCACGTTGCTGGCGATTCCCCAAGCGCAGCTACGGGAAATGCAGGTATGCATATGCGAACAACGTGGCTCGATTGAAATGGGCAGCGTTGAGGAGCCCTCGTTCACCGCGGCAATGAGTTTGGAATGACCAATGTTTCGAAGCCGCTGGGCCATTCAATGAACGAGAAACATCGTTCTTTTCACTTGCACCCCTTTCCGCAGAAACAGAGACCGTGGTCCGCACAACACGCCAAATGCAGTGACCAGGTACAGTATGGGCGGGTGTGTACCAAGCTTGCCGAAGGAAAAATCGTTTTTTCGGGGACAATGATGATGACCGAGAAGCAAGGTTTAGCTAATTCTTTCGTCCCCCGTACCCCCCTTATCGTCTGAGCCACGCCCTTGAAAACTCCCACAGCCACAATAAATAATAAACGATGCGTATTGGTCCCGGGTTCCCAAGAGGAAAGAGAAAGGGGGCGTGAAAGGAAGTAGTTTTGAAATGGCTGACTTTGACTGTGCGGAGCGAGTCCTAACACAAGGTACCAGCACCACATCTCAAGCGTTTTCCTCTGTTGTCGCTACCTCGACAGTTTCATTCGTTATTTTTAGTCTTGAACGGAGATTTGGCTACACTCGTGACACAGCGGCCTGGCTAAGCTGAGCCAATACGGGATAATTTTCTCTCGGAGCTGCATCCCTGATTTTGGCCGATCGTAGGCAAGGGTTCGAACACGTAACCGTCCCGCCCCGTCCGCTTTCGTTACATGTGCCATGTATATGTGCCATCAAAATCGACACTGCCATGTAGCGCAAGTCGCTCGAGGCCTTTGGGAGGATGTTCGGGCCGGACGTCTTGGACTTCCGCCCAACCGCCAAAATGATGCTTGACATTCTTCGCAAGCGGCTAGGAAACCGGCTTGAGCTATAGGCATCCATGCCCGGCTGAAATGCTCTGTAGGGTTCGTGGTTTGTTGATTGAGGCGTCGTCGGGGTTGTTGGGAGTCTTGTTGGTCCATTTTGGTGCTCACCAAAACGTTTGTTGTACCCCGAGACATGTATGGGCCTGACGGCTGGCGGCACTCTCCTTGGCGTTGGCAGACAATCTCCACTTAGACTAGTCTATCAGCAAAATCCTTCCCTGCGTCAATCGGCAGGTGAAGTCCCTCACGGGTGTCAGACATCCGCACACAGCATTCCCGACACTGAAGTCCCAACCATTACCTCCGTCTCAACTGCCTCTCCGACTTTCAACAGACCGTTGATGAACTCCTGGAACAACTTTGGGGACAGTGTGCACCGTATGGGACCCCCTGCTCAATGTTGAACCTAGACTTTTCTCCGTAAGCATGACAGCCTGTATCGTACACATTCTGTCGTCTTCTTCAGCACTCTCCACATTGTCCCCTTTATCCCATAGTTGGGCAATTGTTTCCACAACCCTTTTCTCCACCCTGTATCGTATGCCTTTTGCACGTGCGAGAAACAGTCTAGTACGTCGGCTTCCCCGCCCTTATTCTACCTGAGATGATTTTCTACGCACACACATCGATGACGTAGGTGTCGTTCATGGAGGTTTGAATTCCAAACTCATGATCACCCAACGGCGAAGATCGTCTTACGCGGGCGAAGTCGTTTGCTTGTCACATGTATGTACCGGTCTCGCGCAACATATCTTACGCAGCATTTATCATCTCTGACGTCTGCCTTTCAGGTTGATTCGTAGGGTGCGTGAAGAAAACCATCTGCACACTTGCCTGGTGAAGATATCACGTCCCCTCACTCGTGCCACGTGACACCGCGAATAATATGACAACCTCTAGCAGAGTCTCTGCAGCTTTCAGCAGAATATGAATTGACAACCGGTGGTGCTTGACATTTGGGCATCGCCCTTCTAAGCGATTCTGTATTACCATTCCCGCGTGGTGCAGTCACAAATATATCTTGTAAACGGCACCGTGTTGCCTTGTGGGCTGTAAATTCCGTATGATATTTGAGGTTGTGCATGCAGTGGAGCAGTCTCTTCCACCGACCCGCAGCATCACCTGCTTGGGTACAAAGGACGCACAGCATATGAGGATGTGTTTGATGGACGTCATACGATGCTGCACCTGGCGTCTACAGAGGTGCCCCCATGTGTATGTGCCGGGAGGGTGGTCGGCTGAGGTTATCTGATCGCGAATCCCCTAGCACAGACGAAACCACAACTAAAGGGTGAGCGCAGTAAACCGCTCAGGGATTTCTAGCAAAGAAAATCGTGTAGGCCAGACGTTCCCAAAATGTGTCTAAGAGGGTTTCGTCCTCGACAGACGTTGGGGAGTTTCTACCCTTATGAAGGTGGTCTCCACATTACCCCCCCCTTTTTCGAGGCTTCTTCTTGTTTGCTAGGCAAGAGGAGTCTTCTTGGGGTAACCGGAACCCGACCGGCTGGCGGCGGGTAGAACCACCTTTTTTTTCCAACAATCTTCTGTGCGTGTGTGCCAGTGCGCCACTTCCGCCACGCATTGCCGGAAGTTTCGAGTTCGATAGAACCCGTGTCTTTTGCAACCAAAAGAAGACACCTGACATCTCTTCGTCGACGCCATTGTGGAAAAGAGGGTTTCGTCCTCGACAGACGTTGGGGAGTTTCTAACTTTATGAAGGTGGTCTCCACATCTATCTATCGCTTGATGAAACCGTGCGACTCATTCATCCGCGCGTCATATGCGTCGGGCGCACCTCCTTATACTCAAAGAGGAGCAGAACGAGCAGCGGCGGCCGCAAAGACACTGAGCGCATTCCTACGCACAGTGTGTCTCACGATCGCCGTGGGGTTCTGAAGCCGCTGTGGTGTAGACTAGTCTAGTCACAAAGGAGTGTTTTTCTTGGATCTTCGTGAACAGCCACTAGATCCGAAATCTTGCAAGAAACCATCAATCCTCCGCATCTCCCAAGCTTTGAACCTGAGCTACCTGAAACAACTATCATCCAGCGTTCTATGTCATCGCTTTTCGAAAGTATATTGATGCGAACCGCTTTCCAATCACGCTCGCTCCACCCACTCTCGGGACGACCACAAACGTGTGCACGCAATCCAAGTCATTCTCGATGATATAGCAGGCACGGGATAGCAGCCTGCGGCCCGCCTGCATACATATTCCTATTCCAAAGATGTCCTATATTACAACACTCTTGACACCAGACACCACAATATCGGTCGGTAGGTATCAATACAACGGTATTTTCATTCCGGTGTGCGCGCAAGCGCTGTAGAGGCCTCCTGTTACCGCTGTACCCTTCCAACGTTGTACAACTCGTCCCAGGGTGCACACGAAAGGAGCGAGCCTCCACGACTGGCGATCACGAGGCGTGTAGCGGCGGCCCGTCTTTGTATCTACTAATAAACAGGGCCAAGGGCGTAAGGGAAGAGGGGTCCGGGATACGTGACCGACATCAACGGCACCCATTAGGTGTTCGGATATGTCCTTCACTTGGAAGGGGAAGACGTTATATCTCTTGTATTAGACACGCAAGGGGAGTAGGGAGAAGTGAAGCCTCTTTGGAGTTTGAGGGGTCCCCGCACATGCAACCATTTCAAGGTGTACGTATGCCCCATCTGCGTGCCCTCTGTTGTTGCCGGTAGATCTAACCAGTCCGTATCCAAACACACGAACACCCTCCCCGGTTTGCACGCGAATGGCAAACCTAACGTGGGGCATGGATACCCCTGATGTGATGTACCAAAGGGACTCAAAACAACAACAGGCTAGAGGGAAAACCCGGCCAAC